GGCTGTTGTCTGCAGGTCACATCGCACTGCCTGCTCTCCTAGCCGTTAAGATGCATCTTGAGTTTTGTCAGAATCTTGTACTCGCTGGAATTTAGTTTCTAAGACTCGTGACTTGAAATCTTGACAGAAACGTGGAATTATGCTATAGACTGTGGAAAAAAAACCCCTCACAATGTTTGTTAGTGGTATTTACTAAGCTCTAGATGAAAAGCTAAGAGATGTAACCAGTAAGTGCACTTCTCGGAGGGTGTAATGTAATGTTTTCCGATTTCTCTTTTTAAAGAAACTGAAGAAGTTTTTAAAGTGAAGAAATCAAGTTACAGCAAAAAGATCGTAAAACAGTTGAAGAAAGAATACAAGGAAGATCTCGAAAAATCAAAAGTTAGAACAGAGGTCAATTCTCCAACAGATGGTAATGGCAAAACTAATAGTAACGTTTGTAGTGAAAAAGATGAAGTATTGTAATTTTATTTCTTGTTTTCAAGATGAATTGTTGCTTTTCTAGAAGGTTACGCATTTAGAGCTGAAGTAAAGCACATTAAATGTGTTGTTTGAGCCTTACAAACGCTGTCCTGAAGGTGGTAGAGAGCTCTTTGGTTCTCTTTCATGTAGAAATTAATACAGAAGGATGAAAGTTCTCAGCTCTGTATACTGTTGTCAGTAGACATCGGCGTCCTGAATTTCAGCTGTGTTTATGACAGATTAGTTTCTTACTGAGTTAGGAAGGAATCACATTTAAAATTGTGCCTGGTGCTTGTCTGAGAGGATGTGTCCTTGTCACGCATCTTCTTGAAAAGGAAGATTTTTGGGGTGAGCAGTGATGCTCTTTGCTTTGAGTAAATTGTTCAGCAGCTGCCTGTTTCAGGACTTGGACCTCAGAGCAGACTTGGTGATTAAGATGACAGACCAGAAGGATCTTTTAACAATGGGCAGTTCTCCAGAGCTTGGAATAGAGCCTGGGATTTCAGTTTTGTTGTACTTTTGCCTTTTGGGAAGCTCATTGGTACAGTGCAGTGATTACTTTTCCACTTGGGTCTTTCATAGCTGAGTAACCTATAACCCTGTGAGCACAAGCTGAGAGGCTTAAAGATTGCAATGGTACAGCTGAGGCATTTGGGAGTTGTACATGGTCCCATGCAGGACATGCCCTTTTTTAATATAATCACATTATTCTTTTAAAACTATTAAAGGTTTTTTAAAGGCTTTATTTAGAAAACCCACACATTCTTACAAGAATCTGTAATTGCCTATGTAGTGGTGTGGGGCATGAGCAAAACCAGAAATGATCGTTTCTGTGGCTAATGTTCAGGTGATCCATGAAAACCTGGATTTTGGTTCTTGCTTCTGCCACAGAGATCCTTAAAGAATTGCATTTTGCACATGGCTCTGTGTGCTTGTTTTCTGCTTGTTTTTCTGTCCCTAGTTGATGTAGTTATAGTGCAAACACCTCGGGCTGCTGCTGAGTGAGTAGCCTGGATTCTCTAAAGAGATGCTCAAGTCTCAAACCTCAGCTGTGTGCAGCTCGGATTGCTCAGCTGGGTTTAACATGCATTTTTTCACAAGGTGTTTGTACTTGCTGGCTGGGTCTGTGTGTTACCCACCTAATGTAGGGTGATGTTGCACCCAGCCCAAGAGGCAAATGAAAGGCTCTTTTGAAATGAGTCTGTTCTTGTGGAAAGGTTTGATCTAACCCAGGCAGTGCTTTTGCATTACATGTGCAAGAGGCTTAGACAAGGTTGCACATGTGCTCTTGAGTTCCCTCACTTAATACTTGGCAACGTGGACCAGGTGTAGTGGTTGCTGGGCTGCCTGCCTTGTCAAATTTTATTTTGAGAGGATGCCAGTGGCTTAATCACAATTGAAAAGGTATATTTTACTAGATCTCAAGCAATTATCATTTAACATTGTCCTTTGATTTTTATTTTGGGTTGTTTTATTTAAAAAAAAAAATAGACTTGCAAGTGATCTTTATAAGAGGAGTAAAACATGGGCTTTGTTGTCTTGCCAGTCGAAGCACCACTAGAAAAGACAGGACAGATTAAGGATATAGGCCAAGAAGATGGGACTGCAAACAGTGAGCATGGTGAAGAAGAAATGGAAGTTGAAAGTGAGAAGGAAGAAGAAAAGCCCAAAGCTGGTGGGGCGTTTTCAAGTGCTCTGTCATCACTGAATGTTCTCCGCCCAGGTTGGTTTTTGTGACATGTCTGATAAGTTACTAAGTGCTTTAGCCAGTGTTTACAGCAGAGTAGTATGTGTGAGAGATTAGGGAGTAGTTTCCAACAATGTATTTAGCACCTGAGAATTCAAGAAACTGTTCAGGTTTAAAAGGTTTACAAGAGAAAATGTTTTGCTACATTTTGCTACAAGGCCTTCAAGATAAAGAACTCTTCATCTTGATGTCAAAAGCAGGAATTTGCCTCCCAAATAAATGACAAACTGTAAAAAAAATCTAGGTTTGGAATAGGTGACTTCACATGAGATTTCACTGCTTTCAGTTAAAATATGTTCTTTAATTCAAATATTTTGGTTACAGGCCTGCGAGGTAGCTGAAATACTTTCCTGTCTCATTATAATGAGGTTTTTGTCAGGCTCTGAGGCCAGAGAAATCAGTCTGAGAAAGTGTTTTGAAAATAGTTTGCTAATTCTGGTAGCTGCTCCTCAGATGTAAGATGGATGTCCTGGGTCTACACATTGATTTGGTTCTTTATATGGCTTATGTAAGCTGCATTAATTTTGTGCAGTGGGTTTTAGAATTTTGAGTTAGGTTTGCTTTTCATGTTTCCCCTCCATTGTACAGTCTTCTCATATAAACTTTGTCCAGTTTGGTGTCCTCTTAGTTTCTGAGCTGTCATTGTCTGTTGGAATGGTTGATGCTTTTTGTTCCCTCAAAATAAGAGCTGGGAGTGATATCAGGACAGGAACTGTCACAGTCACAGTCTGTTTAATAGCCTCATTTTCTTCCTCCCTTTGCAATAGTCAGCTCCTGTCAGGGCTTTCTCTTCAGAAATATTTCCCATAGGAACATCAGGCGTCTGCTCTTAGAACATGTGAACTGCCAGGAGCAGAGCCAGACTTTTTGTGAAGATCTGGGTTTGTTTCAGAAAGTTTACATGTTTAGCTCGTAAGGTGCTTGCGAATGTTTCTGTGAGTTTGGATTTGTTTCTTCTCACATATTTTTCTGTGTGCAGAGGTGACTTGGGAGGGTGACAGAGAAGAGTGATAAGAAGATTGTAATACCTGTTTTGTTGCAGTGGTTGTTTAACAGTGCACACATCTGTCTCTAGGAGAAATTCCAGATGCTGCTTTTATTCATGCCGCTAGGAAAAAGCGCCAAATGGCTCGCGAGCTCGGAGACTTTACCCCCGTTGACAGTGAACCAGGTAAAAGCCGCCTTGTTCGAGAGGATGAGAATGATGCCAGTGATGATGAAGATGATGACGAGAAGAGGAGGATAGTTTTCACAGTGAAAGAAAAATCCCAAAGGCAAAAGATTGCTGAGGAAATAGGTAAAACCTTTTTTAGAAGGACAGCCAATAAACATTCACACTGTTTCCGCTGCGAGTGCTCCCATTCAACATTGTTAATCAGCATGTCTTTCAAACAGGAGTATTATTTCACTGCTAAGGAAAAGTACTACATAATGGAGTCTGCATGTACAATTTTGAGTACAAAACTACGTTCCTGTGCACACTGCTGAATGTGGTAGAAACTTATGCTGAGGATCAATTATTATTGTTCCTGTACTCTGTTTTTAGGAAGAGTATATAGTTGTGAAAAGAAAAACACTTGATACAGAGTTCTTGCTGACAAGCAGGTACAACAGCCTTTTGGAAAAGGAGAATTAGTAAGATACATAGGATTTTAACACTGGAGGGTTTTACCAGCAGTTAGATCTTCCAAGTGGATCCCCTGTGCTATTGGTTCACAGGCCGGTGTCCTTTGCCAGTCTCCAGTTTTCCAGTGTCCTTAATTCCTCATGAGAGGAAAGGAGGATGCTCTGAGATGTTCTCACTGATGTGTGATCTCAGGTTTTTGAGCTCATGGCCCTTACTATGAGTGCATTATCTTCCTCTTTTTCTTATTTGTCTGTTTCACTTGTGTGAAGGTATCGAGGGAAGCGATGATGAAGCACTGGTGGCAGGGGAGCAAGATGAAGAACTCAGTAGATGGGAGCAAGAGCAGATAAGAAAAGGAATCAACATACCCCAGGCATGTATTTAACTGAAAACTCTTCTATTTGTTTGTTTGTTTGTCCAGGTATTGACGAAATCCCTTATAAACTTGAGTAGTTTATGGAAGGCTGTTTCATCTAAGAAATTCAGTGTGTAAATTCTGATATTCTTTGAAGAGAAATAGTATAAATATTTAGAATGATAATGATGCTAAGAATTTGTCCAGTTTAGAAGGTGCTTCTGAGGGTATTGTTTCTTCCACCTTAGGTGTTGGACCTTCTGTACTTAAATCCACTTGATAATTAGATTTTGTAAATGTACCTGCCTAAATTTTTCACTTTATAGCATTTGAGATATGTAAGAAAGTGAGTTTCACCTTTCTTTAAAGCCTAATGTAGTACAATTGTATTTCCTCTGCTGTTAGGTTCAACCAAGTCAGCCTGCTGAAGTGAATAATCTGTACTACCAGAACACTTACCAGACACTGTCTTATGGTTCATCATATGGCATTCCATACACCTATGCTGCCTATGGATCATCGGAAGCCAAGTCTCAAAAAACAGATAATACAGTTCCTTTCAAAACTCCCAGTAATGAGATGACTCCTGTTACTATTGATTTGGTAAAGAAACAGCTTAAAGACAGGTAGGACAGATCATCTTTTTAGACTTAAAGACCTGTCCCCTAGGTTTCTGTTCCTCAGGTGTCTTTTAGTCTTGGTGAGCAAACACAGAATTTCATCGCTGGAAAAGTACTGACTGACACATCCATTTTAAAAAAAAAAGTCCAACAAAAAAAGCTCAAAGTGAAGATGACATTGACACATTGTTCGAAAACTCCTTGGATTGCTTCTCTGGAAGTGAAGCTTTAAATATGAGGCCATTGATCTTGTTGAAGACAGGTCTGAGGTTGCATCTTCTGGACACTGCACAGTCTTATAGTGAAGAAGTGAAAGGCCAGTGAGGTGTTTAGCTTATCAAACTGCATTCTTTTAAGCTGTGAATGAGATTTTTTCCTCTTCAGTAGATAAAGAATTTAGGTTTTAGTGTACATAGATTTGGTTTTCTGTTTAAACATTGCAGTCTGCTTGCCAGGTATGTAAAAGGTCCCAAATGAACAACCCAATTTCAGTGAGAAATCATTTGTAATGAACTAGCACTTTACATGTCTTCGAAATAGGTTTGTATGCCCCTGGTAGTGTTACAGCCTTTGACAGTGAATCAGCTTAGTAGAGGAAAAAGAGTGCTTTGTGTAAGCTGTAGTTCTGTAGTTCCTTCCTCCCCCCCCCCAGCCCTGCCACCCAGCTTTACTTTAGGGCCAGCCTTGCACTATTCCTTTGCAGCTTCTGTAAAAATGTCTGGGAGTGGCTAGTGCAGCTCACTCAGCATAGTCAAGCAAATGAATCTCAACCATTAGCTTTGCTGTTCATGGAGAGAGGGGAAAAAGTGACAAAAGAAGGTTCCAGAATGTCTTTGCAGTATTTCCCATATATAGACTCAGTACTTGCACTGTCTGTTTAATATCTCAATGGTCTGAAGTACCAGACTTTTGGATGTAAATTTACTATTTATCCATTGCCCTTCAGGTTGGACTCTATGAAAGAAATGCACAAAGCTAATCGGCAGCAATATGAGAAACACCAGCAAAGCCGAGAGGACTCTACCAAGGCAATTGAAAGATTAGAAGGGTCTTCTGGGGGTATTGGTGAACAGTATAAGTTTTTGCAAGAAATGCGAGGGTATGTCCAAGACTTGCTTGAGTGTTTCAGTGAAAAGGTAAGGATGCAAAAACATTCATCTCTTTTAAAAAAAAAAAAAAAAAAAAAGGGGTGTCTTAGTACATGCCACACACCACATCTCCCTCTGTTTTGAAAAAAAAAAGTCCCCTGAGAACATATTCTTCTAAAGGTTTGGTTGTTCGAGGTGTGAAAAGATAACTTTTCATCATGCTAAGATGGTTACCAGAAACCTCTCCTTCCAGTGTGAGAGATCACTGACTTTAGATTGCCTAAAAATATGCAGGTTTTATGTCTTTAGGATTTTGGTAGATACTCTGTCATTTCAGCTTTACTCAGATGCTGCTTTTCATTTGTGTTGGATATCAGGTTAGCAAAAATAATTCTGACATTGCTAGTTTCTGGAATGCTTTGTGTACACAGTAACAGAGTCTTGTATTTCCTGTGTTAGAAACTTCCAGGCAGTTTCACATCCTTGGTCCTGCTCCAGAATGTGAAGGAAAAGAGTTTTAAAACTAGTGTAGCTGTCTGAAGAGACCCAAACTTAAAAATCGACTTCTTTCATGTAGTGTGATGCTTTTGTATATGTCTAACTCAAAAACTTTTTATTTATGTTATTCAGTATGCTTTGATGACTTGCTTTGTTGTAACTATAACAGGAGCTCCTGAATATATATGCATTTATATATGTTAGGCACACACAGGAGCTGTAGAATTCAGTTAGCAATATATAGGCTGTTCCCTCATTGTTTTCTGACTTGAATACAGTAGTGTAGTAGCTTTTTAAACAGATTGCCTGTCTGAATGACTTGAGTAGTTTAAGCTACTGCTTGCCTAGCTGGTTAGGGTGGGGGAGAGGAATGGAAAAGCTTTTTGGGTGCTAATGGGTTAGACATTGATTGTCCAGCAGTAGTGGAAGTGGGAGAGTCCCATCTTCACTCCTGTAAAGTGAAGAATAACTATGTTGTGAATAAACCCAGGGAGTGTGGATCAGTTAATTCACCCAGCTGATAGATTATGCAGCTAATTAGCTGCCAGTGCTCGTTCATTGAAGAAGCCATGTTCCCCAGTCTGTGTTAGCAATAGGTTAGTAAAGGTGCTTTCCTATGCAGCTCTGGCAGTGCTGGTTGTCCAGATGATTAAATTCCTAATAAAGATAAGGTTTTACCTTGTTTCTCTGAGATAAGTTGTGTTTCAGAAGACAATTTAAATACGTGTGTCTCTGTTCGGTGTTTGCTTTCTAAAGATCTCTCGGTAAATTACTTTTGTGATAACTATAAGCCATGTCTGGAGATCCACTTGTTAGCACATGCTGTTTTGTTCAAGTATTTTCTCTAGACAGATTGTTCTAGAGTGCAGCATTCTGAGTATAAACCAAGCCTTTTAGACTGACAGATTTTGTGTAAACCAGGCAACTTAATAGTAAGTAATAGTGTAATGATTTCAGTCCAGTTTGTAGGAAGGTTAATGGCCTGCCTAGCTATACTAGTAAGTAAATCAATCTGAGTCACTTAGCTGCTGATAATTGAGCTTGATAAAATTCCTTCCTTATGATATGCTCTTGCTTTCCTGGTAGTCCACTTAGCTGCTGATGATTGAGCTTGATAAAATTCCTTCCGTATGATATGCTCTTGCTTTCCTGGTAGTTGGTCTTTTAAGGATTCTACACCTGGATGCCTTCCTCCCCCTTCCCACCCTCCCCACACCTCCCCTGCCATGCCAGTCCATTGAACTGTTAAAATGTGACTTCTGTCATCTCGTGCTTCTTAGGGGCGTTCACAGAGCTGCGCTGGTTTCAGGTGGAGGCTGCTGCAGTACTTGTGTGTACAGTGAGATGCAAAAGCAGGAGGTGATGGGAGCATTTGGTTTTTGATGATACTCTTTGGCCAGATAACGTAGTTTGGTATTCAGAACCGGTTGCCCACAGGACACTGCAGTTTTCCTAAAGGGAGGTGGGGGAAAGGGGATAAAATCAAGTATTAAAATCAGTATTGGTTTTTATTTAAGTGAAATTCAGAAGGATAGTAAGTTATCTGATCTTTTGAGTGTAGAGATAAATTACCTTCAGCTTCTTTTTGTAGAACCCATGGCCCTGACTGCTTCATATTGAAGTGTTATGGTGGTAATATATGTAAGCATATAAAATGTGTATCTGTGTGTATAACAATAATATTGTATGCATATATGTGTGTATATATGCATACATATATGAACATATATCCTAAATGTGGTATTTTGAAGAGATTCTGAGTGCTAGAATCAGTTGGCCCCTTCATAAGGCACAGCAGAGAATAAAATGAGACAGCTATTATGCAGATTTTAGAAACAAGCACTAGAAATGTCAAATCCTCTGTCCCCCCCATGAGCAGAAGATGCTTGCATGACTTCCTTCAGAAGTAATTACTGTCAGAATTATGCTTTCTGAGAGGGCTAGCGAGTGGTAACAGTGTTTTTACATTGTGAATGTAGGAGTGTACAGTGGGTACAGCAAGATTAAATTGTTCTGAGTGTACCTTTGGCAGCACAGGTAGATGAACTGTCACTTCAGCTGCAAAAGCAAATGATCAAAACACACTGTGTGTGTCAGAGAGATGGGCTGTAGGTTAAAATTATCCTTGTGATCTAAATGTTTAGAGAGCTTTCTGCTTTTCTATTGCTTATAGTGAAAGTGTACAAAACCCCCTTGAAAACACTGAGTTTAAGGTATTGACTAAATGAAACAGGGAATGTGGGCTGTAACTTCATAGTAGTCAGTGAAATTGTCAGCCACTCATTAACCACAGTACTGATTATAGACAAATAATGGATTCTAACTCTTTTGCATTTTAAATGGGAAATATTTTGAGTGGGTTCATGTATCTGAATACATCGCTGTTTATGTTTTGGTTTGGATTTTTGTAAAGAACATCTAGGAATGCTTTGAGAAATTTTCATTTACCCTTTCAATGTTAGAATTCCCTTTACATGCTTAAGAGAAGAAGCGATATTTTCTATGGTAAACTACAGTAAAAATAGTATTTTTAGTTACTATTTCTGTTTCAAAATTGTCTAAAATTTCAAATACAGACTCCCAGTGCTGGGATATTCCCTCCTCCTCTTTCTCCCTACTCTTTTCTCCAAGAGAAAGATGTGTGTATTTTGAATTGGTGCAGAGTTGCTTTCATTTTAATCCCTGGAGCCCAGGTTATCCCAGAAAGAGCTAATACTTCTTTCTGTTTAATATCTCCTCTGATGTGCGTGTCAGTCTCAGTGAGCTGAAATGGCCCTGTAGCTATAATCTCAGAATCTTACATTTTACTGATAGGAAGTTCTTTAATAGCTTCTGAGTCACATTCTAAATTATATCAGGAAACAGTTTCTGATTTTATCTTTTGTTTTGAAAAAAAAACCCCACTTAATCCTGGATGGTAGGCAGCTAAAAGGCTGGAAGACTGTGGAGTAAGCCTACATCTTGGAGGTAAGGAGGACATGGCTCAAGTGTTCATACCAAAAGGACTTGCCTTTCCAAATTAAGCAATTGTGAAAAGTTCTGGTTTGCATTTAAATCTTTATAATGATCTAATTGTAACTTGTCCCAGGAGATGAATTTTCGCAAAAGTGAGCAGTGAACCTGCAGCTCAATGTCAGGAAATTCCCAACTGTTACAATACCTGATTTTGTTAGAGTTGCTACTAAAATTTAGTCCACTTAGAAAACGTGTGGCAGGTCTGTCCTGACCTACCTCTGTATCATTCAAGGTTATACTCGATGCATAACTCATACAAATTGCACTATTTTAATTTTAGTGGTAGTCTAGAGGAACGTTTGACTGATCTGAATTACCTGTTGGCATAACATGTTGATGCAGGATTTGATTCCATTGCAGTAATAATATTTCAGCAAATGCTAATAAGAGTTGGAGCAGAACAATAGCTGCTGGCTTCAGGAGGTTAGATTGATGGGTGGTGTTTTCACTGGGTACAGTCAGGTTGTTTTCTCATTGAATACTTCTACACTCTTTAAAGATAGAGAGGAAACAATCAGGTCTGAGAGTTGTAAACCCTTATACAACATGTTAACACACTTGGTAGAGAAAGCAAGAGTACTGGAAAGAATATTTCACACTCCAAGATGATTGGTCTTGCTGTGTAGGCTCACTCAGTCCACAGAAGTTGCTCTCTGAATGTTCTTGCTCTGGTTGAAAGCCTCCAACATTAACTGCATGCATTTTCCACACCTTGAACTGGTGCAAACGATACAGACGAGTAAAAGGAAAGAGTTTGTGCTGCTTAGGAGCACAGTGACAGCGTTATGCTTCGGAGTAGGATGGGACCCCAGAAGCTGAGCACCTAAAGAACTGGGCATTACGTAGTGTGTTGTATTTTTACAGGTGCCTCTGATTAACGAGCTTGAATCTGCAATGCACCAGCTGTACAAACAGCGAGCTTCCCGCCTTGTCCAAAGACGACAAGATGATATTAAAGATGAATCTTCGGAGTTTTCAAGCCATTCAAGTCAGTCCATCTTGAAGGTTTTTATTATTCATTAAACAACCTTGTTTACTTAGTATGGCTTAATTGAAATGTAAATGTTTAACGTATGACTGTCTTACAGTTTTCTCTTACTCTTGAGATAGGTAGAAGCGAGTTGAGATGAAAGTTCTCTAATCTGTTTTGTTTTAAACTCCAGACTCCTCTAACTCTGATTTCATCTCTCCTTTCTGTTTCTCTTAACTATATTTTCTCTTTCCTAGCACTGAGAATGTATGCATGGTGGGAGTGGGAGTAGTGGTAGCATGTGACTCCCCAGATTTATTTTAGCCTTCCTGAATCTATAAATGTCACTTAACATCAGTTAACTCTGTACAAAGCCACCAAGCACTGGGCTAGACTTCTATCTAATGCTCTGTTTTGTAGCCAGCATAAGTATTTCATTTCAGACACTTAACTGATATAGCTAAAGAACTGGAAGACTAATCAGACTAATACAAAGTGACTCTATATGAAATACAGCTTAAGGTTAGGCAGTTAAAATTCCTGCTTACTGTGAGTTTGTGGATGGGGGATTCTCACTGAGAAGGTTTCTTGCGGTGATTACTTTCCTGTATATAAAACTCTCAAAAAGTATAAATGTTAACTTGGATGAAAATACACATTTCTTGGAGGAGAAATGTGTATTTCTTCAGCATATTAAAATGGCAGGTAAAAATATCCTATTAATAGGAGTCCTCTTTATGCTTTGGAGACCTTCCCATTTTAAAAAATGGCTTTCTTGTCTGTCCTATTGCTGATGTAAAATCCTATAATAAAAGCCGTTTCCTCTTCTGTCACAGTGTGTCCAGAGATGGAATCTTGCTGATACCATTGGCTAGAACTTACTGAGGGCGATGAAGAGTTAGGGTGTCAGGGTTGGTCGTTCCTTTACAGAATGGTTGGCATACATACTCTTTAGTACTGTGTTTGGAGCCCCAGGTGTCACATGTGGACCTTGCAGTTTTACCATGTTGTGAGAACCAGAAACCTAACGTACTAGAAACATATTTCCTAAAAGAAGCTGAGAGTGGATTCTTTTAGTCTGGAATTTAATAGCAGGATGGGAATAGTTGTCATTGCTGAGGTTGGGTTTTACAGAGAGGTCTTACTTAGTAGCTGGAAATTTTGAGAAGGCTCTTTGTAGCTCTGGTATTGAATTTGGAATACAGGATTAATAATGGATTTGTAAATGGATTTAGTCAAAGTGTAAATTTGCTCCTGAAGTTTGCACAGTCTGTTGTTTAAATGTTAACACTGATATTTTAGTGGGTGGGCTTGAGCACTGGCTAGCATTCAGTCCACTGTTCACAACTGACCTGGAAAGGAGGAACTGGAAACACTCTTGACTGTTAGGTGCTAATTTAGCTGTGTTGTTTTCTATAACCAGGAACATCTCTAAAGAATCACAGCTTGAAAAGAGGAGGGAAGATGATTTATTTTCCTGTAGATTTTGATGTGTTTTAAACTTCAGGCAATCTAAAGCATATAAACCTAGAAACACCATGACTATAACTCTGGAATATTCTTACTCCAGTCACTCTTCTCTGCCTTTCTTTTTGTTAATTTTCTTTTCAAAAGATGCATGGTGAATGTGTTTATGTAAGGAACACTTTGTCTCAGAACATTCAATTTAAGCAATTTCTATTAAAACTGTTGAGTTTTATATAGTTGGGCACTGTTGTGAGAAGGACAGGTGTGAAGTATGGTGAAAGCTATTTGACATTTAAGTGGAAATTTTTCCAAACTCCACTGCTTTCTGTTTGAACCTCTACACTTGGTGAATTCAGGCTTCTGGGGGCTTTTTTTGTTTTGAAAACTTCAACTTTCTGCTTCAAATTACACTTAGTTTAAAAGTAGGTAAAAGCCTCTTATGAAACTGCCTACAGCACATTTATGGAATCATAAATAAGCATTTTAATTTTCATCGATGTAATTTTACAGATAAAGCACTGATGGCACCAAATCTTGATTCTTTCGGGCGAGACAGAGTGATCTATCAAGAACAAGTCAAGCGTCGAACTGCAGAAAGAGAGGCTAGAAGGTAGAGAATGAGATTTCTTGTGCATTTAGGAGTCTTTGCCTGCTTGCAGGATGCAATTGTCCTGTGTGACATACTAACATGAGTAGCAATGTTTGCTTCTTCCCTGCAAAGGGAAGAAAACTCTTCAGCTGGTGTGCTGGGCAGGTGTGTTCTTAGATATCCAAACTTAACGTGCAAGTGTTAAAAAAACAAGGCACCATTGCATGATACTGTCTAAAATGACTACAAGAAGGCATAGTAACCCATTCCATATCTATATGGTCTGTGCTGGTTTCTTTTCCTTCCATGGTTTGAGGCAGCAACATAGTGGAATGTTTAAGGTGGTGACTTAGTAAAAGTTCTTTTCAACCTGGTTTTCCTTGAATTAAAAGTTAGAACAAGCTTAGGTGTGCATGTTTGTTGTATAGTGGAGGACGGGAAAAAAAGGTGATAGCTGATTTATGTGACTGCTCCTTTCCAGAGCTCGCCGTAGACAAGCAAGAGAGCAAACTGGGAAGATGGCAGATCACCTTGAAGGCCTTTCCAGCGATGATGAGGAAACTTCAACAGATATCACAAACTTCAATTTGGAGAGAGGTTAGAAAAGATTTATCACAGACTGGTGTAGGTTGGAATTGACCTTAAAGCTCATCTGGTTCCACCCCCCTCCACTAGCCCAGGTTGCTCCAAGCCCCATCCAGCCTGGCCTTGAACACTTGTAGGGATGGGGCAGTCACAGCTTTCTCTGGGCAACCTGTGCCAGTGCCTCACCACCTTCACAGGGAACAATTTCTTCCCAATATCTCATCTAGCCCTCCCCTCTGGCAGTGTGAGGCCATTCCCCCTTGTCCTCTCCCTCCAGGCCCTTGTAAATAGTCTCTCTCTCTCCCTTTCTTTGCAGGCTCCCTTCGGGTACTGGAAGGCTTGCAATTAAGTCACCCCAAAGCCTTCTCCAGGCTGAACAATTCCAATTCTCTCAGCCTTATGTAAGAAAATACAGAATATTTGGCAGTAAAAAACCAAGAAATTGATCCAATGAATCCCTGTCTGTATATTTCACCATATTTTGGAGAAGGTTTAGGAGTTCTTGGACCATCAGTGTGACCAGAACAGCCTTTGTCACCAAGCTGTGGTGCAGCTTGCAGCTAACTGAATGCCCCATCCTTAGATTCTCTGTAATTCAAACATTATTTTGCTGGCAAGCAGTAAGCTTTTTGGAGCTTCAGTGGATACTAAGTCTTCCTTCCAATTTGTAACATGGTTTATCATTCTTGAAATACCTGTTTGTCTTACCTGTGAAATTCTGAAAACCCCAGGGCTTTAGGAACCTTTTTTTTGGTTGATGGGAAGTGTTTTGTGGAGTCTTGCATAAGCTTCTAGAAATTCAGTGGCAAAAAATTTTGTAGAGCCTTGTTACAGCCTGGCAAAGTTTGCAGATGATAGAAAACAGTGTTGAATGCAAACATTGCAGAAAAGTCTTGTGGTACAATTACCATTCTCTGTGATTAGAGAGAATTGAATCAGATGAGAAGAAGTGGGGAGGAGGGGAGCAGCAAGGGTCGCATACATAGAATTGCTTGTGTTGTATTTGAGGAGGTATTGAACAGTTTTGGACTCTTCAAGTAGGAGAACAGTGTTGACTTTTCACAGTGTTAGAGCTGGGGACCATGAAATTAAGTGATAGGTTTAAAATAAAGATGTCACTAACCACAGAGAAAGTGGTAAATGTCCTTGCTGGAAGTGGTTGTGGAGACCCAAAGCATGAACAGACTAGAAAAGCAATTAGATGAACTGTCTAGCTGTTAGGTCCTTCAGAAGTGCAAACAGCTTCCACACCTTCAGTTGCTGACTGATTTACTGAAATTGTGGGTGCATGGAGAGCTCCCTGATAAACAGAGCAACTGTTTAGGGTTGTTAGGTGCTGTAATTAACTTTGCTAAATTAAGTTATCTCAATTAAAACTTCAGTGTGTCTGACTTGCTCTTGGTAACTGTGCTTTTAGGTGTGCAGAAGTGTTTGGTAGGAGTTTCTTCAGATTCTGAGTAAGCATGGTATTTCTAAAGCTTTTTTTTAAATCATTCATAACTCTCACATTGGTCTAGAAACAGCAGTGAGCACTTTGGGCCCACTAGCTTTATATGCGGTGTCTCTTCTTGATCCCAGTATGAAAAGTGTGGTTATATGCCATAATCTCCTGTTCCCTCAGCCCTCTCTCTGCCTGCTGTCTGCACTAGTTATGTTCATTGTGTAGAGGTTACTACTGTAACCAAACACTGCATCAAATATGACTGATTAAAATAAAACTTACCCTGGGAAGTAGAAAATCTTAAAGGAAAATTTTGCATAAAGTTTTGGACTGCATAGAGTACTGGTCCTGTAAATATATATAAATAAAGAGTAAAGAAGATCTTAAGGGATTGTAATCATTGCCCAGTGATAACACTCATGTTCTGAGCAGCAGTTTAGCATGGTGTCTGCCAAGATCTGCTCTGCTAAACTGCCAGTTTGTCATCTGAGATGCCCTCCTGTATTTTCACTTGGGTGAGCAAAGATGTAAAATACTTTGGGTCAGAAGGGACCTGGAGATCAGCTGTTTGAAACTCCCATGCAGAGCAAGGCCAGCTTTGAAGTTAGATCTGCTGTGAATGCAGCCCAGTACATCACCAATCCTATGTCTGGTAACTGAAAATCTTCTCATGAAATGTTAAAAGTTAGACCTGTAATAAAACAGTACTTATGTGCTCGTGTTTTTATTGCTTTGCGTATTTGAGGCAGAAGTAACAACTTTTCAAGGTGATGGTTTTTCAGGGTTTGTTTATAGGAGTTAGCTTATGCCAGTGGGCATCAAAGGCTGTCTTGAAAGAGGTATTCCAGGGAATAGGTGATTAACTTATGCTCTTCTTCTCCCCTGCCAGATCGTATATTGAAAGAATCCAGCAAAGTTTTCGAAGATGTTTTGGAAAGCTTTTACTCCATCGATTGTATCAAGTCACAGTTTGAAGCTTGGCGTTCCAAATACTTTGCCTCTTATAAGGATGCTTATATTGGCCTCTGTTTACCAAAGCTGTTTAACCCTTTAATCAGACTTCAGCTGCTTATCTGGACTCCTTTGGAGGTAAGGTCCTCTGCAAGCAGCTTCTCTGTCAGCTTCTACGTAGTGGTTCTTACACACTTGTGCAGAGCAAAGTAAATTGCACCTTTGATTTTCTCCCAAAGGTGTGCTCTAGGCATGAAGTTTAAAATGGGCATCTCTCTTGGGGCAGAGCTTGTCTGGGGAACTTCTGGACTGTTGTCCTCTGTTCCCAGCACATCCCAGTGCCTTCTCAGTGAGTGGTACGGACCAAAAAAGTCAAACGACATAAAGGTGTCCCTGCCTGTGGCAGTGGGTTGGAACTAGATGATCTTTAAGGTCCTTTCCAACCCAAACCATTCTATGGTTCTATGAAAATACATTCAGGCTCTAAAATACTTCAGAGAAAATTGTGACTCTAACTATGCTGTGTCTTCAGAAGTGGAAGTAAGAAGCCTGTTCTTATGTTGAGTTACAACCTGTGTCTCTGGATGATACACCTTTCTTTCTCTCACCTACACCTTCATACCCTGTAGAACTCTGACTGGCAATTTCCAGGTTTTTCCTCATAGTACTCACTGCCCATTGCCCACTCTTCTTCCTCCTTTTATTCAAAGTGGTTATTTTATTCCTCAACTACTAAGGGAATATTTGTAGAACAGCATTTTCTGTCACTCTGCTCCAATTGTATGAGTCTTCTGCAGAGGGAATTCAGAGTATTCAGTTCTATTAATTTGATATTTTGCTTCATTAATCAAACAAAGGAAAATCTATGAAAGATTTCCTCGTCAAATTTAAAACTGTTTTTGCACATTCTCCCTTCCCCCATGCTATTTCTCTCTGAGCTTCCAGGCTGACAAAGCAAAGTTCATGTTAGCTGGAGATGTGGTGCAGAATTGTGAAGTCTATTGTTACTCTGTGTTACTGGGCCTGGTAAGCATTTTGTTAAGTTAGAAAAATTACAAGATGCTCATAAAGTGAAGTTTCAGATCCAGAAGGCATAATTTTACAGTGCAGCACAGTAGAGCTTCCCATTTGCTTCATCTGTGAGCTTTTATTTGGCTCAGGTGTAAGTAGATGTTAAAGGTCTGTGGGGCAACAACTGCTGAAAAAATCAATCTTACTTCCACTATTTTCACTTTGATTACATCTAGTGACCGTGTGGGGGTGGAGGGAATTGGTTCATGTGACAGTGTTTTAAAGTAGTTTTGTGAGTGTATCATATAATATTTTTTCTATATGTTGACTCCGAATCTCTGTTTAGGACTCTAACCCCAGTTCTTTTTTTTTGTTTTAATCAGGGCAAGTGTCGAGATTTTGAAACAATGTTGTGGTTTGAGTCATTGCTGTTTTATGGTTGTGAAGAACAAGAGCAAGTGAAAGATGATGCTGACATTTCACTGTTGCCTACCATTGTAGAGAGAGTTGTTCTTCCTAAATTAACAGGTATAGGCATAGAAAATGGGGAGAAAGGGGTTGTGGGCTCTGGTGCTTGTTTATGCTTTCAGATTTTACTATTTTGTAAATAACTGCATGACTGCCTCAAGTATTTGAGTATTTACAAAGTAGAGTAATTCTTTTAATCTCTTACAGTGATTTCAGAAAATATCTGGGATCCTTTTTCTACCACACAGACATCTAGAATGGTAGCAATTGTACAGAAACTAGTGGATGGATATCCCTCAGTGGTGAATGCAGAAAACAAAAATACACAAGTAAGATTGGGGTTTTTTTCTTAAATATCTTGCATAAGTTAATGAATTTGAATATATTTATATATATTTAATACAAAATGTGGGGAAATAGAGCAATAAAGAGAATTTCTCAATTATTTGATGCTCAGCAGCCTAGTTAAGAAGAGTTGTTTATGGTGATAAATTAGGAGGAGCTCAGTGAAGCTTCCCCAAAATAGATCCTAGAGATCAAAAGATGCACCAAATATACTAAGACCTGTTTGTCTCCAGTTTTGCTTTAAGGTTTGGCTACAAATATCCAGGCTTTTCTTTGCTAACAGAGAAAATCTTTGTAACCTTTTCAAATGCATTGGCTGGAAATTGGATTGTTTTACTTGTCTTCTGTGAATACAGGAACCAATGTGAGGAGTTCATAGTTGTATTGAAAGCGTCACATTCCAGCTCTGATAATTATTGTAGGCTTCTCTGAGACTATTTATTGTGTGGTTAAATATGTATGCCTTTCTTTTGTTGCTTTAAAAATTGATTTCTGAGTGTTAAACTCCTGAGCAGTGCCTTGGACATTAAAACCAATATTTATCTGTTTCAGATGCTTTTAAAGGCATTGCTGCTTAGAATGAGGAGAACACTAGATGATGATGTATTCATGCCCTTGTATCCAAAAAAGTAAGTTTGCTTTCAGCTATGGTGTTTCACCTTTATTAGCAAGTGGCTGTCTTCTGTCTGTAGTTAACAGGGGTTTTTCCCAGTGTGGTTCAGTGTGTGGATACAGGAGACCTTTTTGTTATCCTGCTGGGAGCATTTAGCAAAGACAAGCAGGATCGAAGGGAATATTTATGGAAATGAACTGTGTGTTGGAAGGAGGAAGCCAACAAATTCCAGGCAGAGGTGTGGTCTTGGTTGCTCATTAAAGAAATCTCTTACTTTCCAGCATCTTAGAAAACAAGAACTCTGGTCCATATTTGTTTTTCCAACGTCAGTTTTGGTCCTCTGTTAAGGTAAGTCAGTAAATACATCTGGTAAATCTTTGGTCTAAGACAGTGTAGCAATAAACTCCTCTTCAGATTTGTGGAAAACGGTAGATGGAAATTACTTGTAACTTTATTTGCAGGAACTCTAATTGAGGATCCTAAGTGTCTAATTATGCACTGTGCCCTCTACACAGCTGGTCCAGTCACTAGTGGTGTCCCCTGGGGCTCGGTTTTGGGCCCAGTCCTGTTTCATGTCTTTATTGTTGATCTGGCTGAGGGGATCGAGTGTACCCTCAGTAGATTTGTGGATGACACCAAGTTAGGTGGGAGTGTCAATCTGCTGGAGGGCAGGAAGGGTCTGCAGAGGGATCTGGACAGGCTGGATCCATGTGCTGAGACCAATGGTATGATGAGGTTCAACAAGACCAAGTGCTGGTCCTGCACTTTGGCCACAGTAACCCCCTGCAGCACTACAGGCTGGGCTCAGAGTGATTGGAAAGCTGCCCGGCAAAAAAGGACCTGGGGGTGCTGATTGACAGCAGCTGAGCATGAGCCCAGGTGGCCAAGAAGGCCAATGGCCTCCTGCCTTGTGTTAGAAATAGTGTGGCTAGCAGGACCGGGGGAGTGATTCTCCCCCTGTACTCAGCACT